TGAGATTCTGGCATTGCAAGAGAGGAGACAGTGCTAGTTCCAACATGTGCTTCATTTATTTGGCAAACAATCTTTAACAAACAAGCATAGGCTCTATCAAAACTAGACTTAGGCCCCTTTGTTTGAAATTAACTCAAGATAAAATGACATGTTTCAATTCCCTGATTATCAAAACTCAGTTAGTTCAGCAGTGTTTGAAATACAATCAAATACATAAGGCTGGATTTCTTATCAAACTTGAAGTGCCACTGTGTTATCTAAAATAACAAAATAAATAATCCAGTAAATATTATAATCATCAATATATCCGCAGGTGAGCTGACATGTTGGTTGTGTTGCTGTTAACATAAACAGAACGTGTTGCACAATGCTTGCACACTGTTGCACTTTTATCCACAACTTTCTTTCTGCCGTCCGTTCCACCCCTAATATATATATATATATATATATATATATATATATATATATATATATATATCCTCATGCATACTCTCAGACGATCCTTGTTAGCATTTCTTTGAATATGCCAAAGATCTTACGATACGTATTCTTACAAATACCTTAATAACCTGAACCTATATTTTATTTAGATCCTGAAAAAAGGATTTTCTTGCATATCTTTAGAAGACTTTCATATAGATGTTGAGCTTTTTCACGTTTTCACAGAACATTCTGAATTCTGTCGAATGCTCCCTGCCCCCTTTTGATCATCTCTCTGAGTTTGTCAGTTCCTCCAAGCAGGTGGGCTGACTTTCCACTCTGTGGCGTCGTCCTCGTCAGTCGTGAGGGCCACCACCACCCCTTCCATATATCTTGAACCTTCGCACTGAGAAACTTTCTGTTCATCTCCTTGCATGCATCAGCAGCTGGAAAATAAAATAAAAAAGCAAGTCAAATTTAAAAATACAAATCTTTATCTTTTTTTGTCTTCAAAAATGCACACTATGCATTAAAACAGTTCCATTGCACAATTTGCTTTAGTCAAACTAAAGCCTGGAAGAAAAGAACAATGAATCCCTGTTTAGGCCGAGCATACACTGTACCATATTTTCAATTGTTGTACTCAAACTGAATGACTAAACTGCAGAGTTTAAAGGTTCACAGCTCACGATTTATGTTCTTACACTGTATGGCCTGACGCTCCGATGCAATCTATCTGCTCACACTGTTTGTCCAAAACCCAAACGTCGGTCTCTGCGCAGAGATTTGCCGCTGGTAGGACTTGTCAGTCTGGAAGAAGAATTCCTTTGTTTACACATGCGCAGTGCATGAGGTTCTGGTAAATCCAATTGTAGACGGGACGGACTGCTAAGGAGGATAATTATTGCAACTGCAGGTGCAGAGATGGATGAGGAAAGAAACCAAAATATATTGCATAAATTGAGCCTGTTCCTGAGGAGGCTGATCGTGGTGCAATGATAGTAGCCCTAGTACAAAGTTAATAAAATCATAACTATACCCAATTACACTATACTGTATAAAGCTGACTAATGACACCCCCTTCATATTATCAAACCCAGAACTCACTAATAAAAGACAGAGATCTAATCTTTTTCAACATAAAAATGTCATTGGTAATTGCCAAGAGCCTTTCTAAAGCTAAAATCCTTGGTGTGCAGTAATTCAACCCTGAATCATTTATCCCACTATTCTAAAAACAAGGTGTAGGTGATAAAGTTGGAAATTAAGGCCAGGCCATCATCAACATATTGGGAAAGGGCTGAAAAACAGGGAGGTATACTGATGTTCTCTGGGTTATTTGTATGCCATATTTATTTAACAAGAGTTAAAAAAAAATATAGCTTATAAATAAAGGAAAAGGAAAACTGAAGAAAAAAAAACAGGAGTTTACACTCAAATAATGAACTAGAGCAGTTGTCTAATATAAAATTTAATTTCCAGTTAACTCAAAAAAGAAAATGTTCGTCAGGTTAATCAGTTCTTTCTGGTAACATGAATCGCTTGGTTTTAAACCATCACTTTCTGGGCATCGGCTGAAAATGGTTCATTGCCATGGTTAACTTTTTTGTTACCGCAAACCTAACAAAAGCCTCAACAGGATCAGTGACCGGCAGGTCACAGCAAAAGAAGGCCTCCTGAAGTTGTTTTTACGCAGATGGTATCCACTACCCGGAGGTTTCATACCATCTCAGGCCATCGCAGCCCAGATAACCAAACTGCATGTTTGTTTTGTGCTCTTGCAGCAATTTTAACAGTGGGACTAAACTTAAACCACTGTGCCAGACAGGCTGCTTACCTTTTCTCTGTCACTAGTGTTTATCTATTACCTGCTCTTTTATGAAAGCAAAAAGGAACAACTTCATTATAGCTGTCCATGAGACTGGCTGCAGAAGTGGAAAGGAAATAATGGAAACCTCAAGTTTAGCTTCAGCGTTTCTTTATTATAATCATATTTTATTGTCATTACACTGTCACAAGTACAGCACCACGAAATTCACTCTCTGCATTTAACCCATCCCCTTGGGGAGCAGTGGGCTGCCATTTGCGGCGCCCGGGGAGCAGTGTTGGGCCAAGACTCTTTGCTCAGGAACCCACAGTAGCGGTCTGTGGGTGTGGGTTTCGAACTCACACTTCATCATAGCTGTCCTTGAGAATGGCTGCAGAAGTGGAAAGGAAATAATAGAAACCTCAAGTTAGTGTCAGCACTTTTTTTGTTATCATCAGCGTTTTTTTTTTATTGTCATTAACCAGGCTCCAATAAGTTGCTCATAACCCAGAGAAAAGACGGGAAGTTATTTATTGAAAATGAGTCAATCAGTGCGACCGGCGAGGTCTGAGAAGTTGCTTATACTTCAGTATAAATAAAGCCCAGTGTTAACCCCTGCTGCGAAGCAGCTATCGGCTATATAGCACCTTTTGTTTTGCTCATTGCCCAATTTGCACAAACACATTCACTGCTTGTTTGAGCTTATTTCACTAAAATGGCAGAAAAAACAGTGTACCTTAAATGATTGTTCTCCTCTAAGACATGTTAGACACAAAAAAAGTGCAAAAGATTTTATTAAACACACCAATCATGAAAAATTTCAAGGGAACTTAAATGGGAAAAAGAGAAACACCAAATCCCAGATTATATTACTAACTGTAGTTATGCACTCCACCAGTAGGTGGTGACATGTTATACATGAAGTTTCATGAACTGCGGATCGTTGAAGCAATTAGCCCAAACAGCTTCATCTCACCATCACTACAAGGGACACAAGAACTAGAACCAAGAAGAGAATCCGGCAAACAGTAACTCTAGAGGAGGAGTATATATCCCAAACACAACAAAGAATTAAGTAATCAACTGATTGGGAGCAGGTGTGGACAGAAGGATCTAGAAGGGAGCTAAGGGAAAGGAGACTGGCACAAGGGAGCAACAGAGAGTAAACAAGAAATACATGAGAAGTGAAACACGACCGAAAAACAACTAAAATGACACAAAATGGAAATGAAACCACTGACCTAGAAAACACAGAATGACATAAATCAACATGTGACTGAAAACTCAAAAGAAAACTTAAATAGAACCAAAAAGTCCTGAAAGAGAAAAATCATGACAATCGTAGTAATTACATTTTATACCAGAACAAGATTATTGAAACATATCTGTGCCAAGTGTGGGCATCTAGAGCCATAAGACCACATTCAATTGGGTCTTGACAAAATGTGTATTTTTATGGCCATGGAGAGAGGTTAATATTTAAAATATCTTACTTCAGAGTTAAACATGCTTAGCACTCCAACATTCATCCTTTAGTTTGCAACAGACCAACCTGCAGTGTTTATTGATATGATTTTGTCTCGTCTATACATTCAGTTTAGTTAAGTCGGGGTAACTTTTAACAAACTCTACTTTTGTTTGTGATAGTGAAACGAAATAATTTTCTTCTGCGATGCCCCGTCATTGCTAAATATTTCCCTTTGAGGCTTGCTACACATCTAGTGCAAAAGATTTCTTGGGTTGGATTTTAGGGGACATATTCTTCAAAACCGCAGTTCCACAAGTTCCATTTACCCTTAGTGTGAAATACAGTAAGCACGTCTCAATTTCAAACCCATGTAATGATATATTCACTTATTTTTCCCTCTACCATCTAAAAGGGAGAAGGTGATCATAACGTTTGGTTAAATGTAGATGTGATTAGTTAAAGACGGTTGTTAGTGAATTCTAAACTAGGTGTTAGAACAAGATTCCTGCCATGATCAAGGGCCTTTAAGGCTCAGCCAATAAGAGACTAATCCAGAGCAAAGCAGTGGCAGTTTTTAAACAAATAAGGGAGGAAAAGAACACCCTGATATCTCAATAGTTGTGCGATGAAGTCATTACAAAATCCTGTGTTGGCAGAGTTCTGGACAGTCAGATATGGGAGTAGGTTTATTTTTAATATTCAGCATTAAAACATAAAACCAGAACACTCTTATTAAATGCAAGTGAAGTTGACGTTATCAGAATTTCAATGCTCCAACTTTTCACATTCTTGGAAACGGTTGCACTATTAACTTGTATTGCTTAATAACACAATGACTCCCTTAGTAACAGCTAACTAATGCAAACTTTAAACAAGATTAAACCATTGCGTTCAAACAAAATCCCATTTAAATAAAGAGTGCTCATAAAAAAAAACTTTAACAATTGAGTTTTCTCTACTGGCTAGTTGTCCTGCGGTGCTATTACTAGCTATGCTAAGCAAGCCTGTTGCATAGGGGGAGGGGGGCTTTTGGAAGAAGAAAAGATATGTTCCACTACATATTTCACATAAGAGTATTAATGGAAAGTTTAGTTGGAGGAAAATTTGTTGAAAAAAAGGTGTAAAACCAAAAAGGGTAACCACACAAAGGGGTAACCACACCCTTAAAAGAAATCTGCAGTATACCCGGAACCAGATGGAAGGGTAGATTCATAAGGTCTTATCCCTGCAGTATACGAATAAAATTCAGAATATGTTTTTTCAGAGGATCTATGATCTTTTTACATGTTAATGGATATTTCACATATATAAAAATTATCTTTTTGTTGTCACTGATCTTTCAGCATTAAACAGCAAAACAAAGCATGAAAAATCCCTCCCCCTGTCCCAGTGACAGGTGAGCAACATAACATTATGTTCAGGTACAGGCCAGTTTGCATCAGTACAGTTTCTGGGATTTTTTCTCTTTTTACAATTCAAAAACTTAAAAAAAAAACTTTTATATATATATAAAAATTGATATTTTTTCCTACATAGTGATAACTATAAAATAAAATGGCTTCCAGTTGTTTGTGAAGGGTCCTGAAAAAACATTTGGTCGCCTCCAGCAGCCTGTATTAAAATCACTGTCAATATTAAAATACTTCAGTTAGAATTTTACATTCAGATTGAATTAAAACCACTTAAAGGCATCTAAAAATCTTGACAATTGCAGTATTTTTATTTTTAGTGCCGAGGATAAAAGTTACTCATCCCTGTCAGTACTACAGGTATGGCCTATGTTTTGTTAACCTGCAACCATAAAACTATTATCAGTTATATATGCTGACAAACACCAGTTTCCTAATTTGTATAAGAGATCATTTCAAAGCTGTATCATAATCAAACTCATAATGGCAGCAAATATAGAACCAAGTGCAATACTAACTTTCTGAATCAGCAAATATATATATATATATATATTTTTTTGTTTGTTTGTTTGTTTGTTTTGCGCTTTTCGAGGACCCCTCTGTAGTACAGTTTTTAGTATTCGTGTCAGGATTTCCTCACAGTCTGGCTCAAGTTTCAAACTCATTGTTCTTTCTTAGTTATGCAACCAGACAGATGGTTCCCTTTTTTGAGGTTTATTAAAGCTACTCTATTAGTTAAACTGGCCACACACACACACACATAAAGGCAAGATGAATAAGATTTCCAACAATTTTCCATGGATGCAATTTTCTAACAAGTGAATAGACAAAGCAGAGCATGAAAGTTCATTGTGTTTTCAGTAAGTAGGTTGCTACAGCTGACTGCACATCAGAAATGAGAAAATATCTGAAGAAGGGACAGTGACATACTGGTGCACTTGCACTATTTCAGAGCTTTATTTGCAGGTGCATGATTGTGCATGAATCTGAACGTGTTTTAAATTCTCCATTATCAGATATTGTAAATTCTTGGATTTTCTTAGTGGTGTGTCTGCATTGTAGTCCCTTCAGGTTAATTTCTATTTAACCCGGCATTGAAATGCCATATTTCTTTCATGTAAATTTGTCATTTCAAACCTCAGAGTTCTTGTGCAAGAACTTTTTTCTAGGTCACTCTGTCCAAGAAGTTGTGCTTCAGAGACTTTAAAATATGAGCTTTTAAAATATTCCTCAGCCTAGATGCCGAGTGCGGATGACATGGTGAGATTAAACATTAGAAATTTGTTGGAAAATGGCATTAATGTGTCATAAATAGGGTTTTAATATCAAAGAGCACCAGTTTCTGTTGCATGAGATAGAAGTGGGTAGATGCAGGAAGCAACAGTTAGGACAGGATGTGCTCAGTGCCTGAGATGCAGCGGTTTGCCACATTGCAAGTCAACCACATACACATTTAGAAGCTATATAGCCATTATGGTACACAACAGCTTAGTGTAGATGATGGCAATCAGTTTACTGTTAGAACTATAGACAATAGACTTTATAGAATTGCTATTTTAAAGGTCTGATGGCCTTTAAAATAGCAATTCTAATTGCTATTTTAAAGTTCATAGGTAGTAAACACTGCATAAATACATTGTATGTTTTTCTAACAGAATGGGCCTCATTTAGGTCTCTTCCATCTCGCAGGACCATCACTTTTAATCCTGGCGAAGAGCTTCTGAGATCACATGTTGATCTGAGTAAAGGAAGCCAATTCTGTTAGCATTCCAAGATGGTCCAGGCTCTTTCCATCTGTGCATATAAAATCTGTTATCTGGGGTTGGTGCTGCTGCAGGGGTTAAGTTGTACAATAACAGCACGACCATGAACAAAGGCTTTGGTTCTTCACCCAGCATGCACAGGTTTAAGTCCCGACTTGGAGACCCTCCTGCAGGTTTTCCCCCTCTCTTTGATCCCACTTTCTGTTTGCCTGCTTTGAAAAATATAGGCCACTCGAGCCTGAAAAATATATTTAAATAAATGCATTATTTAATTGGCAAAAAGTTTGACATAAAACAATTTCAAATTGAAATTACAAAGAAGCTTAATATTGAAATAATGTCAAAATTAAAATCAATAAAGTCATTGACATATATCAAATTGATGTTAAAGGACTTTTGCAAGTCAGTTTTTTTTTGTGTCTTCAACAAAAGTAATGCTGCTGCGGATGATGATAATTAATAAGTTTCCAACGTATTAAACTTTGATCTATTAAATCCTTTATCCATAAACGGTTTCCTGAAAAAAATTCATTAACATTATCTCCCCCAAAATGATCACAGATGACAAAAATACCACGTGAAGGGCGTGCCGGTGTCGCAGCGGTTGGCAGGCACAGCCCATGTACGGAGGCCTTAGTCCTCGACGTGAACGACCCGGGTTCGAATCCGACCCGTGGTCTTTTGCAGCATGTCTCTCCCCCTTTCCTGTCAGCCTGCTTTCGCAAAAAAAAGAGCCACTAGTGCTGCAAAAACCAAAAAAAAAAAAAAAAAAATCACACGAAGATCTTCTGCACATTAAAGAGGTAAGGGTGATTGGTGGGATTCTTATGTAATTTCACTAATGAAATATACCCAAAGATAACTTTATTGAGACATGCCTTCATTAAAAAGGGCTTATGAAGGGGGATAAAAAATAATAATCTGACCAAACGGCCACATATGCACAGGGATCCAGAGGCCAGGTGGTTTGTTTACAAACACTTACTAAAGTGTAATGACAAAATAGAAATACGCCACCAGTTAAATTATTTAATTGGAATTTTTTTGTCTGCAACCTCAGGGAGGATCTCTATACTTTCCTTTTTAGCAGTTCTTGTATTTAGGATGATCCCAGGTCATTCTCACTGTCATTTTCCCTTTGAATGAGAATAAAAAGAAGTCATTAACCCCTTTTTAGGATTCAGAAAAATAAATAACTCCCTGATCATCTATTCAGTTATCATTTTTAAACATCTATTCAAAAGAACAGTGTTTTTCTCAGTTGTTCTAGATCTATGATGTGTTTAATCATAAGCTTTGCATTTAGCTAATGGATCATTGTAGCTTATTTATGCTAAACTTGTATACTGGCTGCAGAGGTACTGTAAATGTCAAACACTTTTGACGGGTCTGGCAGAAGCTGGTTTCAAAATTAAAAAATAAACAAAAAAGAAACCATTTTTTTCTGTAATTCTTTTATGTTTTCTTTCATTTGTTTATTCCATGCAGTATGGGATTGTCCTGGATGCTGGTTCTTCCCACACAGCTTTGTATATTTATAAGTGGCCTGCAGACAAGCAAAATGGCACCGGTGTGGTTACCCAGCACAAAGAATGCAAGGTGGAAGGTAAGTATCAGCATCCTCTTCGCTCAAACCAGTAATTTGCATGTCAAATACAACTCTGGCATAATCCTACCTTAGAATGAGACAAATCCAACTGGCACTGCAACTCTGCATCCAGCTGTGAGACAGAAAAAGCAAAACAAACACAAGATAATATACAGTATGTTTTTATCATGCAATTGCTGTATTACACCCATTTTATTTTATAAAATCTACAGTTGGTTGATTAAGTACAGCTACTTTAAATATCTTTGTTTATTTTTGTTGCTGTAATGTTTGCATATTTAGTCATTAGTCTGCTGTTTTCTTTTTTATTAAGGATCAGTTTTCCTTATGTTTGATTTCTCTAGCAAAGGGTTCACCCTTCAGTTATATCTGGTGTTAAGACTAACTTGAAAAAAAAAACAACAAAAACTAACCGGATTAATTGGCTGCAGGTTGATAGGTTATGTAACAACTTTGCTGTAGGTGGATTGGAAAAATGATTCCAAGCTCAAAATTAATGCACAACAAATTGAACTTCAGGGCATTATAATCAAGTATATCTCTTCTGGCTGGTATTTTTGGTTTACCACTTTCTATGTTAGTCCATCTGCAAACATATCTTGGTTGGATCTAGATAATTTTATTTCCTATTTACCCTAAAAAAATGTACTGTAAAACATCGCTGTCAGCAGAAATCCAGTGAAAATGACTGCCTGTTCTGGTAGATGGGATCATAACCAGCACTCTAGTGTTATGGGTGTGAACAGTTCTTAACAATGACACATTACAGACGTGACAGAACCTGACTCAGCATTTTACTAATATGATGCGACACCTTTGTCTATATGTTTATCTGCTCAACCCTCATCAAGGTAAGGGAATATCTAGCTACGCGGGCCAAAATGGAGCAGCAGGGAAGAGCTTAGAGAAGTGTCTGGATCAGGCTGTGAAAGATATCCCCAAAGAGAAGCACCAGAACACACCCGTGTACCTGGGAGCCACAGCCGGCATGAGGCTTCTGAAGTGAGTCACTGTCTGCGTTTGTGTGACCCGGCTTCAAACGTTATCATTGTTTTGGCTCTCTGCACCTTTAAGCTGTTAGTCTTTGTTTACACCGTTTTAGGTAATCCTTTAAGTTACAAAAGAAAGAAAGAAAGAAAAAAACTGGCAGAACTGACAAGAAATGTTGCTTTAAAGGTCACATGTTATGCTAGATTTGAAATTAAAAAATATCAACAATGAGGCACCCAGAGCATGTATTGGCCATTTGTTCAGGAGCATTTCTTAGGCAAACAGCACGTACAAGAAATCTCCTCATTCTCTTCTAAATCAGCTGTTATGGCATGCCCCGCCCCTTCCTCCTGAAGGCTGGACCCCCAAAACCCGCTACTATGACACCAAGTCAGAGTTCGTAGAGATAGCGGCTCAGAGAGAGGAATTACTACATTAGATGAAAGCCGTAAGTTGACAGATGAGCTGCTACTATGTGTAGCTTATCTCCCCTGATGACATCATAAGGGGAATGGTTTTCAAACAGAGCATTTTGAGCACACATTAGCAAGAGGTGTAGAAGGCAGCAGGATTTTTTTTCCATTTGTGAATCCCATATACATGCTTTAGGACACATGACTTTTACAAAATGTTTTTTTAAATGAATTTTACATATTATAGGACCATTAAAGAAAATGTGAATAAAACATGTGTTTTTAAATTTTGCCCATTACACAAGGTAAAGTTTCTTACCTCCACATCTTCATTTATTCCGGTAAAACATAGCTCTCCTATTTCGGCTGTGAACCTACCCTTTTTTACGCCTCTTTCCCACCCATATTAGTAGTCTCCCGTAAAAATCCTGTATTATTGTACTATAGAATTATATTGAAAACATGGAACTGTCGCTAGCATTGCAAGTCAAAATCTCAGCACCTTATTGTAGTTTTCAATTGGTTGACAAGTAGATTTCTTGTTCATCTGTCATAAAATATATGTGATAATGGAGCTCGACTGGGGTAGAAAGCTCACAGCAAAAATGTGCCTTATTTTTAAAGCCAAACTTGACAGGTATGCAGTAAAAGCAGATGATTTTTCCCGCCCCACGGCATAATGCTGCCACTACTGTGTTTTACTTAGCAGTTGGTGCACAATGTTAACTTTTTGAGGCACATTGGTGATTTCTAAAGCAAATGTTTGGACGTGATTTTAATAAAGTGACAGGATGAACAGATTGATGTAACCTTTGTTGAATTCCCTCTAAATTAGCCTCTAAAGGTTGCTGAATATATTTACATTAATGAAACTGGAAAGGTGAAATAAAAATGTCTCCAAATGTTACATTTTTATTTTTACCAAAGTCTTGAAAAAAAAAAAACATTCATATATTACTGTAATTATAATTTATTTTTAGATTCTAGTTATTGTTGCCTTTTATTATTTTTTAAGGATGGTAAACAATATCTATTAATATGAGATTGTGCTCAAATTAGTGCTTTTTCTCAGTATTTCCAATCCAGAGCAGTCGAGTCAGATTCTACAAGAAGTGGGTCTTAAAATCAAGTCATACCCTTTCAACTACAGTGGAGCTACCATTTTGAGCGGACAGGAGGAGGGCGCGTACGGTTGGGTCACCGTCAACTATCTCTTAGAGAACTTCATCAAGGTAAATCATGTGGAGATGAAATCTGACCTGAGCCTAGAAAAAGTAATGAATAAACCCAGTGGTATTACTCTGATTGTTTGCCTTCTTGTGTTTAAACAGTATGGATTTATTGGGCGTTGGTTCAGCACCGGCAGACCGACGGTGGGAGCGCTTGATCTTGGCGGAGCGTCCACACAGATAACGTTTGTTACGCAGGATGCGGCGGGAGACAAACGAGACATGATGAAGCTGCGTCTTTATGGTCATGAATACTCCCTGTACACCCACAGCTACCTGTGCTACGGCCAGGACCAGCTTTTAATGAGATTGCTGGCTCAAATCGTGAAGGTAAGCATGTGTTTCATACATTCAGTAATCTCTGTGTCCTCATGTTTTGATATTTGCTATTTTATCATTGCAATCATAAAAATCAGCTAAGATACCCCTGAAATTTTTCTTTGTATTCTTGAATTTTCTCATATTTTTTTTATGTCAAGAATAAATACCAAACGTTTTAGTGAAATTTTTTGGCAGAATTCTAATTCAGAATTTGAAATGTGATACAAAATAAAATTCAAAGTTAGGATTCCATATATTAAGTAAAAATTGCCTTTGGCACTCTAGAACTGCCAAATCCTGCAGTACGGTATCACACCATTACTAGTGATTAGGCTTTTCTTTAGGATGGCGGAAACAATTGTTAAGACCTTCTGGAATTTTAGCAATTAAGACAACATATTGAAATGCTGAAAGAACTCATTTAAATCTGTATGTAGGTACCTGCACATAAATTCATGTATAAAAAGTTTCAGATCCTGTGTTTCATATGTTTTTGACATTACATGATGCAGAGAACAAATTTTTCCATGTTGGTACAATAAAGGGATTTACATTTTAAGATATGATTCAATGCTAAAATAGACTTAATTAAACATCCGAATAATATATTTAACCAACAATGTTTTTGCATTTTTATTTGAGACTATTCAGAATCAGATGAAACAATGAAGAATCATCACAGGGCAACATGATTTGAACCTGAGCTTGTTTCTTTGGAGGAACTGCAAAGAAAATAATAAAACAAAAACAAAATTTAAACAAACAATAAAGGTCCATTTAAAAGGCTGTATGTTTTGGATTCTGCACAGTTCATTTATGATTAAATATGTATTTTATATTTATTCAATACATGACCAATTTTATTATTAGAAATAAGATCCTGCAGATTTTCTCATCTGGATTCTTTTTAACGACTGGAAGATAAACATTTACAGCACCCTCTGCTGGAAAATATCTGCAACAGCAATAGACTATTATTGAGCTCTTGCAGCCTAATGTATTTCATATCACTTTGAAAATTCAACAGTTTGGTTTGTTATAATCTTGAATAACTGACTTTATACTAAAGTAATATGTCTGCTCTATTTGTCTCCTTCAGTCTCAGGGTTACGCCCAGGTGGTCACTCATCCTTGCTATCCTGCAGGCTACAATAAAACATTCAAAATGGATGACATCTTTAACTCTTCCTGCACCTCGACTAAAAAACCCGACCCATATGACTCTCATGGCACTTTGACGGTGCAAGGCAGTGGACATTATGAGCAATGCATGGGCAACGTGTCTGAACTCTTCTCCTTCGGCAGCTGTCCCTTCTCACAGTGTTCGTTCGACCAAGTCTACCAACCAAATGTCACTGGCAGTTTTGTGGTAAGAAAGACTAAAAGGGTATTTATGGTTTCAAAAGACTGATAAGATATGTGCGTAACGCCTTAAAACTAATATGTTATTCATTAGCTGAATGTGTTTTGAAATAAAACCTCTACTACAATAAAGCGGAAAAGACCTTTAGCAAAAACACAATGCTTTTGACTTTAACCTCTTACACCCTAAGGGTGTATAAATAAATTTCTGCCTGACAAAAACACACAAAAGTAAATCACTTATAGCCTCACAGCTATTAGATTTAAGAAGAAACTTTTGGTACGTCTGTAAAGGTAAGATGTCATAGAATGGTTTCCTGGTGTCAGCACCATTGTAGCTTTGACCCTGCCTGAAATATTAGGGACAAAATACAAAATATTTTGCATTTTTTGAACCTCGCCAAAATTTTCTTTGAAATAAACATTGCAAAACACTACCAAAATATTATTTATAGCACAAAAAAGTAGTACAGACTTTTAAATCTAAATGTTATGTAAAAATATACCAAATTTGGACTCAATCAGATGAATCATATTTATTTTAGAATGGTATTAGTGAGAAATTTCTTAGGCGGAGAGGCCATTTTGGCACATTTATCCAAAAATGTCACCAAACTGTGCCAAATGTGTTTTTTACATCAATACTGGGGGTTTGTTAAAATGACGAGGTCATGTAGCAGCTGGACCCACCGGTGGGTCCGTAGGGTTCTAGGGGTTAAGAGCTCCAAATCAACCAATATTGATAAAATGCATCTGAAGCTTTTTTTTGCATTTATAATTAGCTTTTATATGTCTTGAAACTTTTTATCAGTCACATAAAACTTTGGTGTGATTTGTAGTCATTCTGCAAGATCGGAAAAATAATAGTAGATACTGCTCAGTGAAGGCAGATGTGTGTTGAGCTTTATAAATGTGAAAAGAACCGTAATAAAATAAATACTTGCTTATTTCTACATTCATAACAATGATAAAAAGATAAAACTGAAATTGTGATGAAAAAGGGCTGGACGATACATTTTTCTGGCACCTCAGAAAGAGGAGGAAGCGAAAAATCAGTTCTTAGAGTTAGAGAGCCTGAAGCAAACAGACGTATGTTGAAGTCAATTACTCTCTATTAATGAACCTTTCATGATGCATATAAATTAGTTTTAATAGGTTATGTATATAGAATTAATAAAGTATACTTACTCAAAATTAAAACTTATGAGTGTATTGATGTCAAATACATAAAGTTGTTTTTTTTGGGGGGTTTTTATTACCGTACTTTCTGGACTAAAGGGGCAGCTGAATATTAGATGCACAAGCCAAAAGTAGGGGAAAATGCTGATTTGTTCATACCTGACTAAAAGCCGCAGGAGTTTTAATGTTAAATTATCATATGTAAGAGAATATGCACACTGTGGGATTGTCAAGAAAGAGATGGCTGTTTGGGAACACATCCCTTTTATTAACAGTTATAAAAACAAGCTACCGGTACATATTTGCATAATTATTTTACGTACGTGTACAGGTACCAGTAATTGCAAGTACAAAACATGTACTGTGCTATTTAAACAAGTTACAAATGTACTGTATAAAAAAATAAAATACAGCACCCCAGAAAAAATACATTCAGCCTATCTTTTGGGGGTAAGGTGCAGGTTAGGCTTTAACAAGAAGAAAAGTCAGTAATTCATTGCCATTGTCTTCTTCCTGCCCACTAAAACCATCAAAGTCGTCTTCTTCAGTGTCGGAAATGAACAGGTTCAGGGTGGTTTTACATTTTTTGATAAGTCACTCATGATGTTTCATTGTGTGCAAGAAACCAGGTGTATCAGTTCACTTATCTTTTGCATCTGTGTTCTTTGCAATGGTAGTTGACCCTCCAGCATAATTGCCATTGGCCTTTTTGTTCAGACAGGACAAATAGCCTCTAAACTCTAAACCTGCCTTCAGCTAATTGCCTTCTGTTTTCCCTTAGAGGAAAAACCCAGAAATGAACCAATCATAAATATAGCTGGAATTTTCTTTCTCTTATTTCTCTTTTTTTGTCAGGAAATGACCATTTTTAGTCCTTTCTTTTTCTTTTTTTTTATTCATATATTTGCTTTTCTAAAGGCAGGCATTACCGTAATAAGGTTTCAACAAGCACATACTGAATAATAAGACATCAGTTTTCATTATTTTTTGCCCTTATTCTGCTTTTTTTCATGTATGATAATATTAATTTATTTAGCTTTTCTCATCAGTTTGAAATGTATATTTGTAGAAACAAAGCAGAAGACAAATCTTATCTATTAGTTTGTTTGTACCATTTATCATAGTACCGTACTATTATAGAATGTAATAATAATTCATCACAGCATTTTTTTTTTGTTTTTAATTTTGGTTAAGCAAGATTTTTTATGGTTTCATCAGCTCGTGTTTATATTTACTTTTTAATTACTGTTTTAAAGACCTCATCAATACCATCACCTTACAGAGATCAGTTGCCAGGCAACAAGCAAAGTCTACTAACTTACTGTCCCTGGCAGGAAAATTACGTACCACGTAACTCTCTGTAGAGCAAGTAAGATGCTGTTAGCCCTTGAGCTGCAGATTAAAAATGTACCGATGGGCATGCATTATGCAGGCTTGTTTTAAAATAAAATGAGGGAACTATTCAGCCATGTAAGTCTTAGAAAAATATGAAATATAAGTCCTTGGGGAGTTTAACTAAGCCCTCTTAAGCTCTTAGGTGGACAGAAAAATTGTAGTGAGTCATATTTTATGTTTTTTATTTAACCAATTTTTGTCTCTTTCATTTTTTTTGTTTTTTGGGGTTTTTATCTTTTTTATCTACAGGCATTCTCTGCTTTTTACTACGTTCACTTCTTCCTGCAGCAAATCGTCGGACACAAAATCAGCACTACGCAGGAGCTGGAGTACGCCACTGAGAAACTATGCAACATTACCTACGATGAGGTAGAAATGGCTCCAATGTCTCGTAAAGGAGGCAGGCAAAAAGCGTATTTAACTTCAACAGCGCCTTATCATTGCAGCTGATGATCATGGCTCCGAAAAGCAAGTCTTATCTACAGAACTACTGCGCGTCTTCAGTGTTCATCAAAATTCTCATGCTGAGAGGATACGGCTTTGATGAGGAGTCGTTCGCTCGCATTTCCTTTCAGAAAGAGGTAAAAGAAAAACACCTGAGTGATTATTTGTGAGGTTTATGATGATGCAGGATAAACCTATGTGTTTGTTGATGTTTGTGCAGGCGGGCGACACGTCGGTGGGCTGGGCTCTGGGCTACATGCTGAAGTTAAGCAGTTTGGTCCCTGATGAGAGCGTCGGGGTGAGGAAGACCCTCACCCTCGGAGCATGGAGGACGCTTCTCTTTCTCTTTGCCGGCCTTCTCTTCGGCATCTGTGCCTTCCTTCTGCTTCGATGTCGAGACAGGAGGAAGAAAGGAGGTGATCAAAGCACCATCTAGATACCACCAGCACCTCCAGGGCTGTGAAGAAAATAAAACATGCAGGTCATCGGGAGTAAATTGATTATGTGTATGTTGCTTCTTCAAGCAACTTATCAAAAAAAAATATTTTAAAAATTTGCTTTAACTTCTGCTTAAATATTTGCATCCGCTCAGAGTGAATTTTGTTCTATTACTGGTACAAGTAAAGAACATGTTTTATACATAAAAATAAACACTTTTTTAAATAGAACATTAGAAACAAATAAAAAACAGAAATTAAACTTTGAAATTTTCTCAGTCAAAGAAAAAGTAACTTTGCTGTTTTTCAAATATTTTTATTTTATTTAACATTTTTAAAGATTTTACAGTTTCAGAATCTATTTTTCAAATTTCAGTTTTTTTTTATTTTTTATTTTACGAATTTCATTCTTTAGAAATTGCATTTTACAGATGGAATGCTCTTCACGCCTATGGAGTGAGGAGTCAGCTTGGCTTGAATTGAAGAAAAAAAAAAAGAGAAAAACTACTTTCTAAGAAAACAGAAAAGTTTCTCTCGAAAGCTTTTTTTGATTAAGAGCTTTTTGAATTGCATTTTACAAAATTTGCATTTCCAAAACATGTTGTTTGTTTGCAACAATTTATGGTTTATGATCATTGCGTTTAAATGTTTCTCTAAATGTATTGATTGTACAAAATAGACTTCCATTAACACCAAACAGCTGCTAAGATGTAGGCTAAAAATACATGCTGTACTCATCATTAAAATGTGTCTTAATATCATCTCCCAAAAGTACATTCCTTTGTGAAACCATCACCAAACGTCGGATTTCACCAATTGGATATTTGACCACTTTTTAGCAGAATAATGGAAGTTTATTTAAATAGTTTTTTTTTTTATTTTCTTTTATGTTGTTTTATTTTTCTCACAATTTTTAGGTCAGGGTAATTACACAAGCCAACAGTAGGCAGCTTTATCTATTCTGTAACCTCTTACTTGTATGTTGGTTGTCATTTTGCTGCAGCAGTCAATGTTTTGACCAGCTTAAGGGAAACTTAAATCCCCTAAATAATTCCACCTTTTCCTAATGCTCCAATATCACTGGTAGGGAGATGCATGTAGATCTGGGCTGGACTTTGTGTTTATTCTGTTATTCCCACTGATTTACTGACATTTTTTCAGTTGTAGTTCATGACTTCCAGCAGCTCTTGCCCTTGCTGCTGCCTCCAAGCTCTCCTGTTTGTCTAATTTGTATAGATTAGTCCAGGACAAGAGATTAAATATCTATTTTGCATTAGACTTTGGCTTCAGTCTGCCTGCTTGGCAGCATTTGGGTACTTAAACAGGCATTTCTATTTGGTCAAACAGCTTAATCTTTGATCAGACCATTATAGGTAAGCTTCATCATGTCCATGAGCTGCTTTTTTTGCCATCCTCTCAGTTTATGTTGATATAAAACTGGCCTAATTTGGGCCTTGATGCTGCTAAGGCTGGACTTTCTCTGTTCAAACAGGTTTAAACCTCAATGGTTCTTTGGACTGGATAGTTAAAACTGTAACCCAGTTGTTTTTTATTCAAAATACAATTTCACTTTTTTTTTTTTGACATTTTAAGCTTGTAAAATGACTAAAGCTGTTGAAACAAGTAGCCAGTTCTTGAAAGCTTGATCTGTGTCAAACAGCTGGTTTGAATGATCGCTTGAAAATCCAGCCAGAATCATGAAAGAGGCTCACAGAAGGCCATAAAAGGCATGTTGACATGCAAATTTTCCCAAATATAATTGGGTAGGAGTGAACGTTAAAATAGAAATAATCCACAATTTTAACATTCCGATTTCTATTATTATGAAACTTTGAACCTGTTTCTAAAACCTATTTATATGTAGAGTTTATAAAAACTTAATGATCAATGTCAGAAAACTAAAATAATGATCTGTCAAAAGAAGGAAAGGGACTAAATTATTAAAAACTTTTAAAGGTTAGTGCTGAATTAGAAGTAGGTACATTTAATAATGTAGAAATGTTAAATACAGCTTGTTTAAAGCCCTGCACATAATTTTTAAATACATTTTAAAACAACAGAAAATGAGAAATAATGAAAAGTTAAGATTAAAGAATAAAAACAAAATGAAATCATGCTGCATATAAAACAGAGGTTAAATATTAATATAATAAAATGACTTAATTAAAATATTTCAGTCTTTTTTTAGAGACAAGGAATGATCATGTTTGATACCCACAACAGATGGTGACTCAAACTTGGGTTGCAGTCATGTCTTCAAAATAAAAGATCTTATTCCAGACTTGGATTTCTCTATAACTTGGACTGAGTAAAAAAAAAAAAAAAAAAGCTTTCATCTCATTGGTATTTATGATTAGATCAACAGACATAGAGAAAAAGTCTGGCTGGACCTTAGAGCACCATGACTGGACCTGCCCTTTTATTATGGTGGCTGAAGGATGCAAATGTCATTTAAATACTTAATTTCACAGAAAATTCAAAAAGTTGTCAAGCAAACTCAAAAAGTTAGTCTACCAAACGAGAAAATGGAGATGAGATTAGTAAGCACAAAAATTAAACAAACACAAAAAAGAAAAAATGATGTACAGCAGAAAGGCTGCGATTACAGAAAACAGCAAGTGGACACGCCCTGCAAACACAAAACCTCCTGCAAATACATTTACGATGGTAAGATAAAATACACGCAAAACAAAAAAGCTGGAAGTAAAAAAAGCAAGTACAGGTTAAGAAAAGCTGCAAATGCGGGCATAACAGAAGTGCTCCAGACCAGTAGGGGGAGACAGTCATCAACTCTTATCCAGATCTTAGACATTTCTGCAAATTATTGTCTACGGACAAGATCTTTTGCAAAAATATAAATGGGATGTAGTCCATAAAGAAAATGGAAGTTTTCCTTTGAATGCTTTTTTTAACACATCATCCCTAGAATCCAGGTTATGCCCTTACTAAGGGTCTGGTCCCATGTAAGTTGAAGATCATTTCCCCATAGTGGCCTGGAGGACTTCCATTATGCAGAGTTAGTTGCAGCTTTTCTTAAAGCAGGACTGAGTCCGTTTTTGCTTGCTGTAGTAGCTTATGTGCTGCAAATTGTTACACAAGTCAGTGAAAGATACGTCTGGCTATAGAGTAAACAGTTTGTGTTTGCTATCATAGATGATTTAGCGTCTCTTTGTTTTATATTGGCACCCTAAAAATCAATTACTACGGTACTTACAAGTCCAATAACAACATGGTCATGTCTGCGTCAGTTTTGAGTCCCTGTTTTTGTTTGAGGTTTCACTATGAGGTAAATTTCTTGCCCATTTTGACTGTTATTAAGCCCTGTCTTCTATGGTCACCTGTGATAAACACAGTGAGGGTGTGGCAAGCCATTTAAACATAAAATCGGTTATAACACCTTTACATTCAAGATATCTCAAATTGTTTTATGACTAGACGTTTTAGCGATTTAAGATATCGCTAATTACATTCTGACTAATTGAAATGACGTCAGATTTACCATTAACTTGTATGCAGACGACAATTTAATATATCTAGAAGGAATTACTGACTATCTGAAATACACATTTCAGATATCTACGATTAAATTACGACTAGTCCTAAAGTAATTTCAAGATATCTCAATTTTAGTTTTGACTAGTCATAATTCTAATTAAAGATATCTCAAATGCCAACATAATTCAAGATATATTAAATGTATTCTAGGATAGGAGATATGCAGTTTTGACTAGTGAAAACTAAATTATAGATATCTTAAAAGCAAATGATGACTAGACAAAACAAATTTGAAGATATCTTGAATTGTAATTTTGACTATTCGAAATTCCTTTTAAGATATCTCGAAGTGAATTTAAGATATCTTGAATTATTTAGCTTTTCCATTAAAGATATCTTAAATTGACATTCTGACTAGTCAAAATGTGTAATGATCTTTTTAATGGGCTTCCAGGAGGATTATTCCTAAGAAAAATTCCTTACTGTCAGTTTAATCCAAAGGAGGAAAAGTTAAATCAGCGTGTGATGTTTTAAATGACAAATCCGGTGTCGAAATTTGAGATATCTTGAAAGGAATTGTAATTGTAATTTAAGATATCTTGAATTATTATTCTTCGTAATCAGAATGTAAATACAGATAACTTAAATTACCATTCCGGATAGTCAAAATGTGGTTTTGTCTAGTCAAAATGTATTTTAAGATATCTGGAACGCAATGGTGGATGGTCAGACGAAACCGAATTCATGTGAAAAAGGCTTGCCATAGTGAGGGGTGTGTGGTCATGCCAGTGGTCTTCTGCGTGCAAAACTGTTTGCTTAACCCTGAGAACACAAGCAGAGCCACTAAACCACTCCCAGGTTGCTGGCACAGAAAGGTGCCACTGTGGTTTTCTGGCCATAGACAGGGTGAGATGACAGACCTCTTAATCATCTCATAAAGACTTAGATCACCACCCCAGGGACTTAAGAGGACATTGTTAAGGCAAAACTGTCATTAAGCGCTTTTTTATCTTGCAGATGTTTTGCTTCATTCAGCATTTTTCCTTTGCACATGCTTTGCACCTTAGCTTCATTTACGTATTTGTAGCTGGTTTTGTGTTTGCAGCATTTTTCCACTTTGCTGTTTTTTGTGATTCCAGCTTTTCTCCTTTACAGCATTTTTTCCTTGTATGCTGCAGTGGATAGGCATAGTTTTGATCTTGTGGTGTCAGCAATGATTTGTAAGATCACCCGTTTTGCTCACCTGGTGAGTTTCAGTGAGTGGGTGACGATGGATGTCTACTTTTTGCTGACCGCTTAAAGCTTTAGATTTTTTTTTGTTCTCCTTTACCCTTGGTCACGGCTCCAACCTGTGGATTCGTTTTTTTTTTGTATGCTGCACTGCATGTTTTGAAGATCAATAAAAAAAAAGGATCTGAACTGCACCTTGGCCTGAAATTTTGGACAGCGACAAGGATTCCTCTAATCAGCCGCTCGGCGACTCAAATTGTTTGACTGTTGCCAACATATGCATTTTATTAGTTAGTGCAGTTTTGTGTTTGCTAGTCTCAGTTTTGTTTACAAGACTGCTTGACTTTACTGTGTGAAGCTTGAAATAATGTATTTGCACAATATCTGGACCAGTTGGCCACTATATAATAAACTAGCATTTAAAGTATATGCGGTAATAGAGAACTCAAAGTTTTTTTGTTTGTTTTTTATATAAATTCAATGGAAAAGATTAAGAGAATAGTGATGTGCTAAAATGTTTACTTTACAAATAAGAAGCTGAAGAGATGAGGTATAAAGCTGAGAAGTAAGAGCAAGAGTGACTTCTTTTACACAAAGAATTAACGTGTGAAAAATCTTGTGTGATGAATCAGACACACAAATGAGTTCCTCAATGAAAATTTGCAGACAAAAACAGACAAAACTAAATAGGAAATTAAGCGACACATAGCGAGTGGTGAAATAAATGTGTTACAGTTGTGGCAAAATAGGATAAAACATAGATTTGTACAATACATTGCGAAAATATAACTCCAACTATATCAATATAGCAAATGACTCTTTAAAATCTATAATGCCAGCAATTCACAGCTTGAATGTCAACAAACTTTTAATTTTAACTTTATTGGTCAAGTATGTAAAAAAAAAAAAATAAAGAATGTATTAATTGGGCATGATTTCAAGGTAAAAAAAACACATTAAAACATGTACATTTCAGGCTAGCAATAACCAGTTCCAAAATCAGAAATCTAATTTTTTTTTATCATTTGTGGGAACAACATTTTTAAATACCTCCAGGTTGCAATGGCTGCAGCGTTCTTTAGAGTGGAAGCTGTTACTGAATGAAGGTGTTTCATTGAATCAGTGATGGACTCCAGCAGATAACTGCAAACAGAACAGAAAAATTCTGAGGCTTGTTTCTACACTTTACACCCAGAAAAACGGTACCACAAATTCTTTCTTTGATTAAGTTGCTAATTTATCCAATGTGTGGGAGATATTTCATTCCTTTGTTCAAGTCATTTAAAAAAATATATATAATGTTACGTTTTTTTGTTGTTTTCTTGTTTGTTTTTTTGTCTAAAGGTTTTAATGGATGTATTAAATTTTGTGTGCTATTTGGTGTTTTACACAAATATAAATAAGGGTCCATCTGTCAATTACAAAGTGACAGTAAGTATTTGATTAGCAGGTCAAAGTTTCTTAAATTTAACAAACCTGAAACAATCTTTCACTTTCTTTAGGTCTGTTAATTAATCACTAAACATGAGCTCCTTTCCGGTACTGAACAGTTTTAAGCATGTATGCTTTGATACATTAATAAAGAGAATATTGTAAAACTTGTCAGAAAACATTGAGTTGTTAATCAAAATAAACTGGATGAATTTGTTTGTGTCCTGAGAAACTCCACTGTAAGGACAGCAAAATCCCTATTGGCCAATAAAAGCAGCTGATTGGTGAATCTCTAGAGCTAATGTGATACTTGCACACTGATCCGTATCTTGTAAACTAAGCACAATTCAAAATATTAATGTTTGGATTAATTAGGTAATTTTAACCAAAACTATGGCAGAATTTGTGTTGAATAAAATGTAAACGTTTACCATACCTGTCTTTTCTTTTTTATAGTCTCAGATCATGACTGGAGTATGTGAAATGTTATAAGTCTGCAAATAGATCACATAAATGTTTGTTGGTGTTTAATTATTTTGAATCATGAATGTAGCCTAGGCTTTAACCCTGAACCAGGGGTGGCACAGTTCCCCTTGGGGCCTCAAGGGATATTTGGTTTTGGGGTCCTCTATCTCTATGGAGGGTGACAAGTGCCCCAGTACAACACATAAACAATTTAATAAACAATTATTTAGATTTGCCATTAATGTATTAAAACTGGAAATAAATACAGAATTTATGTAGTAACTATAACATTATTTGGGCCTTAAATGAATATATGTATTTTATTTAAAGAAGTAAACAAACATTCCTCACTGCTTTCACTGGGGGAACGATTTTGTTTTTGCATATAAAGGTATGAACTACCTTGAATTGGTACAGCACCCTGTGAGGTAAAAAAAAAAAAAAAATACCGTTATATCAAAACAATCAACACAGTGTTTATCAAAACAAGAAAACGCTATAACAACCTGGCCAATTTATAAATTCATTTTAAATAACTGACACATAGTTAAAATAATTTGCAGTCTTTTGCAGAATGTACTGCTTTCCTGGCGAGAATGCCACTTACAATATGGCGGACATTTTGACGCATTGTTTCTGGCGGACGAAAACTAATGCTAGTGGAGGGTACCGGACGTATAGCCTTCAGAATAAAAGTTGAATAAGACAAAAAAATATATTTAATTTGCTTTGACTTAAAAAAATTAATCTATTATCATTTTTAAATGTATTAGATTGATAACAGCGTGACTGTGGATTTTCAATCACTCCCTTCACACTTACAGTTTTCAACATTATTTAACTTTGAAATTTTAAACCGGAAAAGCAAGTGTTGTCGCTACAGCATCATGGCGGCGGCGGTACAGGCTTGAAAAGAGATACAGCTGTAATTGTCGTAATTTTTAACTTTTAACTGTCCAACTAAAATTAAAATCACACCAGCCTGCTGGAGAATTTTTTTAGAGGAGCTGGAGATTGATGAGAAGTTCCGAGCTTTCGGTCTGCTGCTCGCTTTGTTGCTCGGTTTGCTAGAGAGTTTTGAGATGTGCTCCCAGACCAAAGCGGCGGCTCTCATGGCCAACATTCCGCGGGTAGACATCGACCCCTCTGGGGTTTTTAAATATGTGCTGATCCGGGTTCATAGCCGAGAGGAGGGAGACGACGCGGAGATAGATATAGTCCGAGGATACGCCTGGGCTGAGTATCACGGTGAGTCATTGAAACTCCTAAAACAGGAGGCACTGCTAGGGTTTTATGTTGTGCTCCACCTGATTTTATGTAATTACTACGTATTGGTACATGGATATTTTATTAATAATAGTGAGATAAATCCTCATGAGGCATGGAACCGTTTGGCTTCAACGATCCCCACAGTTCATGAGGCTCCATGTGAATATGTCACCACCTACTGGTGGAGGGCAGAACTACAGTTAGTAATCTGTAATAGTTTTTTATAAATTGTTTTTCTTGCTTTTTTCCCCCTCCTATTTAAGTTCCTTTGAAACTATTAATGATTGGTCTGTTTGATAAAGTATTTTGTACGTTTTGTTTTTAGTGTAAAATGTCTGCACCGCTTTTCTGCCATTTTAGTAAAGTAACCTCAAGCAGACAGAGAAAATGTATCTGCAAATTGAGCAATGATGAGCAAAATGAAAGGTATTAGTCATTTTTATTTAAACATAATAGTTTTTACAATTTTTTGTTTTAATCAGGTTGGAAGTTTTGTGTTCAACCAATCTTTTGGCTAAACCAACCAATCTAATTGGGCAGTGTTTTTAATCTAATATATATTTGTATTAAGGCAAACCAATACAAATTAGTCACATAAGACAAAATACTTGTTAAGTGTTATTGCATCTTTCAAAAGTCTAACAACCTTAGCAGTGGAAATCCATGTCTTACAGCTGACACCACCAGCAATGGTAACTGCTTATCAGAAAACAAATCTAATTAACATTAATGTTACAACTGTGACTGGTGGCTGGCTCAGATTTTGATCATTACATTGTTTAATCTGACCAAAATAATTTAAACCAAGTAGAACCAATCTATTTTTAGAATTTATATCCAAATGACAGAAACTCTCCTACAAACTCCCTCATCTTGACTGAATACTGAGGCTGTTTAGATGCCTTCTTGTGAGGTTTTTTGGTGGTTGGCAAACTAGTTAAAGTGCATTACCACCAACAACTTTAAAGGAGTTAAACAAGGAAACAGGAAACAAGACTAACCCGCAGAATAGAAAAAAAAAGAAATAAAAAATTTATATTTTTTAGATCTCTTTAACTTTGGCTTCAGACATCATCTAAATGAATCACGCCCTACATATATTAAAATCCTTGGAAGTAGTGATGTTGAGATGAAGCCTCATGAGGCATTGAACCGTTTGGCCAATTTGCTTCAACGATCCCCACTGTTCATGAGGCTCCATGTGAACATGTCACCACCTACTGGTGTAAAGCAGAACTACAGTTAGTGATAAAATCTGGGATTTTTTTGCAAACGTTTTTCTTTTTTTCCACCCTTTTAAGTTCATTTGAAATTGTTAAAATTTTGTGTTTATAGTAAAATATTTTGTAATTTTTTTTGTGTGTAAAATTTCTTATAACAAAAAACGCAGTTTTTCTGCCATTTTAGTGAAATAAACTCAAGCAGACAGTGAAAGTGTTTGTGCAAATTGGGCAATGATGAGCAAAATGAAAGTTGCTAGTCATTTTTATTCAAACATAATAGTTTTTCCACATTTTTTGGTTTTATTCAATCGGAAGTTGTGTCCAACCAATCTTTTGGCTAAACCGAATTTAATTTGGCAGCGTTTTTACCCAATCTATATTTTTTCTAGGGCAAACCAATGCAAATTAGTCTCATTTGCCAAAATAATTAAGTTTAATCGCAACTTTTAAAAGCGAAAGGCAGATTTTGAACCACCAACCTCTAGGGTGAGAACCTGTGTCTTATAGATGACACTATAGATGACACAGATGATGGTTGATCATAGAACGGAGAAAATACTACTTAAGACTGACGTGTTAACACTTACTGTGTCTGGTGGCTTGCTCAGATTTTGATCGTTACAATGTTTATTCTCACCAAATTAGTTATTAACAACTAGATTGGTTGGAAAAACAACCAATCTATTCTTAGACTCTATCCAAACTCTATCATACTGACAGCAGCTCTCCTCCAATCTCCCGCATCTTGACTGAATCCTGAGGCTGTTTAAATGTCTGTTAAAATTCTTGAGCTTCCTGAACCATTCTCGAAGCGGTCACGAGGTTTCGCGGTAGTGAGGCCTCGGACATCATCAATTGTGGCCCCTCCTCTATAAATTAATCACGCCTCGACACGCGCTTCGGGGAAAGGCCACCTCCATTACTCGAGACACGCCTCAAAGCCTCTGCTTATCTCATAACATCACTTCTTGGAAGCAAAACTACATTGGACCCTATAGAAATATTATATAAACATATGTTGTCATTTTTTTATGAACACCATTACTAGCATAACATTTCTTACCATGCTTAATAAAGCTGCTAAACTGGATTTTTAAAACGCCTGCACATTCCCACTAAGTTATTGATTCTGCTCATTGCTCCTTCAGTGACATTGTTCAGTTTACACACAATATTTGAAATGATCCGCCCCATTTTCTACTTGTTGCATTTGTAGACATGAGAAGTGGCTGCTGATAAAGTGCACTCTCTGACTTATTACAGCTGATATCTACGACAAGGTTTCAGAGGAGCTGGAAAAAGGTGGAATACTGGACTGCGAGTGTGTCGGAGGAGGCAGGATAAAACATGATCCAGGTGCCAAGAAGATCCATGTGTACGGTTACTCAATTGTAAGAAAAAAACCCTGGAATATATCTTCCAATTGTCATTGCTTTTTTTTTTAGGATTTTTATTCACTGTTATTTTATTACTTGATTCACAGGGATTTGGAAGAGCAAACCATGCGGTGACCACAGAGAAACTGAAGGATCAATACCCAGACTATGAGGTGACCTGGGATAATGAAGGCTACTAAGCTAAGCAGCAGATGGACTGAAGCGTGCTCAATGTTCTGCACCCTCATAGCCGCCAGTCTGCCATTTGGCGTGAAGGAAAACCTTCTAAATCTACTGCAAAACCAAGAGTGACTCTGAGAATGAGATGTTAGGAAATAAAAGGTTTTATTTCCTTCATTACATCTTTGCTGCATCAAGAACTCATACTTGTGCACAAGTATCAATTTGTGTCTGACTATGTCCATCGCAGTGTTTAAAAAAATATTTTTCAGTCTCCTTCAGCTGAGCTTATAATAAAAAAAGTTTTTCTTAAGCAGTTTGATATAGTATGGAATTAATCCAGGTTATAGGAAAAAAGAAATCGTAACAGTTTGGCAGAGTACTGTAAATATTGTGCTTTTTTCTTTTTATTGAAAAGACTTGAAATCCTGATAACTCATGTTAAAGGCCATAAACTGATTAACAAAATTTGTTTGTTTTGAATTTCTCAACTATATGTTGTTTTTTGTTGCTTTGTATTTTTTGATTATTTAAAAAAGGTTTATCAGTTCAGGAAAATTGCACTGAAATGTTTGTATTTTACTGAGAAAATCACCTTAAAAGTTGGAAATCAGGATTTTATGACAGTTTAACATGTTAAATTAGTAAAACATGTGGAAGAAAACGAGCCCTGTATCTAGTGTTACCAACCGTTCCTGGAAAAAAGAAACTGTCCCATATAATTAGAATCTATAAGCCACATTTACACTAACTTTTGGAAACCATGCTGAGAGCGGTCCGAGCACGCTAACCGAGATGACTGTTGAGTGTAAAGGGAAGTGGACCATGCCAAACACAACCAAACCGCGCTAAATCAGGTACTAGTTCATCAGTAGAGCTCTGTGCGGTTCAGTTGAGGCTCGGTTCTCTGATAACAAAGAGTGCATGAGCAGACGAGTCCTATGCTATTTACAGTCAATTTTCAATTTAATTTATTTCTATAGCGCCAATTCACAACACGTCATCTCAACACTTTACAGTTCAACCTGATCATCCAGTCAAATTGATTCAAAGTTTTCTATCTAAGGAAAACAAGTTGATTGCATCGACTCATTGACTCAAATACAATCCCTCAAACTAAGCATGCTTGTAGCGACAGTGGAGAGGAAAAACTCCCTTTTAACAGGAAGAAACCTCCAGCAGAACCAGGCTCAGTGTGAGCGGCCATCTGCTGAGGCCGACTGGGGTTCAAGGAGACAGAAGCAAAGACACAAATAGCAGCTGTAAAAGGCGCCACATCCAGGAAACACACAGCCAGGCAGACGAGCTCTGAGCCAGCTCCCATGTCAGAGGATGAAGAGAGCACATCCACTCAGTCACGGTCAGAGAAACAGGACTACACTGGAAAACAGGCTGATCTCAAACATCTATAAACAAAGGTGTTGATGGAAGCAGCACAGCTGATATTTCTCTCCAGGATGGTGTCACAGCCAAACAGGAACGGACGAGGCAAAGCTACTATGAGAAAAAGCAGCGAGAGCAGAACGTTAGAGATTAAACTAACAGATTCTGCAGATTGGTAGAATAGAGACAGAATGAAGCAGAATGATGAAATGCAGGTCCCTATGTCCTCCAGCAGTCTAAACCTATAGCAGCATAACTATAGAGATAGCTCAGCTTCCAGTAGTTCACATCAGTAAGTTGCTTGCCAACCACCATAAAACAGTAGAACTGCTAACAATCAAAATCTTCTCAACACTAAATAAAATGACTTAAAGAGCATGGTGTGGCCAAAGGCTGTACTGTACATGACTCTCCACAAACAACAAATATCACAATTATAACCAAAAATGACCTCCTGAATGTTATGGGAGCCACCGCTTTGATTTGCCTGATTCTTTCCTTCGATCCCAGCAGCAGTACCTTAAGGAACAAAGCTCACAGTGGAAAAATTCAAATCTACGTAAGTATTATTTTCTTAAAATAAGTGCATTTGTTCTTGGATGGAGGAGGTAAAAGAGACATTTTGCAAATGGAACAAGACAATTTACACTTAAAATAAGAAAACACAATTGCACTGTCTTATTTTAAGTGCATATTTTCTGATTATCTTCTTTTAAGAGTAAAAATACTCATTCCATTGGCAATCTATCTCATTTACCTACTAAATTAAAGGTCAATTCATTTAATTTAAGAAATTTTTACTTATTTCTAGCTATTTTTTTATAGTGCAGATCAGTTTCAGAGGGGTAGTGTAAGTGGGGCAACAGAATTTACTGATTTAAATTCAGGTTCAAGTTTATAGAATATTTTTATAGAAAAAAAAAAACCCATGTCAGTAGGAGGAACACAATACCTGGCCAACAGGTGTCACTTATTTATATTCACAAGTTCGTTAACACTATCCGCTTTCATTTTTCTGTATTCTAACACATTATTGATGAAAGTATACGCTCTCCCATCCAAATATTTGAAACCAGGCGTTCAAATCACTGAAGTATGCAGACTGTTTCTACAAATTTATGGTAGAACAGGCCGCTCTCAGGATCCCTAGACTTTCCGGTGTGGCACTGTGAGAGGATGCCACCAGTATAACCAGTCCAGTCATGAAATTTCCTATAAAATGTCCACCCTGAGATGTCACTTGTATTAAACTGTTAAGGACTAAGAGTTCTACATAAAAACATTTGCTACTTGTGATTTATGTCTGATTAAACAAAGAAAAAAAATCTATTCAAGCCTTCGACTCAAATTCTGTATAAACATTGCAAAGCACCGTTTTAATCCTTGATTAAAAATCATTTGGATCACATTTGTTCCTCCAGGTTTTTAGTCAGCAGTGCTCCAAGCGGAGCTGTGATTTTGGCACAATTTAGCCATATGTAGGAAAACTGATATCCATTGGAGAACTTATTTTTTACACAATAGAGCCTTCAATCATGACATTTAGCTGGTTTATCATCAAAAACCCCCATTAAGTAATTTTTAGTTATGCTGCAAGGCAACAGAAATAGAATATGTGCCACCATGCAGCCCCCCATACAGAACAGCTTTGGGATGAATGGCTGAGAACCAATCATCATGTTAGAACTTTGACATTAATCAATTCCAAGTATTAAATGCTGCGTTCACTCCCAGCATGTTTAAGCACATCTCTTGTGCAATATAAGTATGTCTGCTGGCATATGGCGGTTTGTTTTATGGTTGTTTTTGCAAGCTGGCTGATTTTAAAGTCCAACTGTTATCTGCGGGAAATAAAGTTTAGAGTCAGCGAGTGAAATCTCTTCAGACAGCACTCAGACTGAGATGTGATCTAACGGGGGAAAATGCCACGTTTTCAGAGATCAACCTTCTTGTTGCTGTTATCTTTGCAGTTTGGTAAGACTACATTCAAAGCCACTAAATAACACCTTTGTTGTATCTGGCGGTTAGAAGTGTTTTAAATTTTTATATAAACCTTTTGCCTGCTTTTTCTTTTTCAGTGACTCTCCTATTCTCCATTTACTTTAGTTTCAAATATATAAAGTCAAAACCAGTAGAGGTTTTGTGAGTTACATTCTCCAATTCAGAAAGATTTAATAGTTTATTAAACTGCAGTATTTATTCATATTATGAATTATTGTAAACAATTGTCTTTGCAGGTGAAATCTGAGCCAAACATTTCTTTACCAAGCTTTCTTAAGTTCTGAAAAGACTTAAATCCAAGCCTTAACCCTTTAAAAACAAGTGTATCATATTTTATTCATTAGGTTTCTAACCTCTGCGTCATCAGTGTGATATTTTTGTTCTTGAAAATCCTTATTTACACAATCAGGCACATTTAGTGAAGAGAAAACATAAAAGAATTACACAGAAATGCTTCATGTTTTAGAGTTGATACAAATAAATGATCTAACACAAATTTTGTGCTTTTTTTAAATTTCATTTGTCAGAAAAGTTCAATGATGACTGTAATAAAAAAAAGTCAATTATTTAAGGGCTAAATACAGCAGATTTTTTCATGCAAATCAATGTTGATCTATTTATTTTAGATTAATAGTTTGCCAGCCTTCCTGCGTTCTGCTTGCTATAGTTCTAGCTGAGGAATTTAGGCAATAATTTACTTAGAAAAATCTACAAACGCCCTTATCCAAGGCAAGACGCAGCTCAGAAAGAAGTTTTCCAGTTAATATCCTTAAGGAAATACATAAAAAATTCATTGTAATTTAACCTAAAACACATATATTTAACAAGATTACGGTCAAACATTTCCATACTTTGCTAAAATCTACACCCCTTAGGAATCTTACAATCTATATACTGTGTGTGAGGGTAAAATGACAACAGAAAGTGATATTTTATCTTGTTTTTTTATGGGATTTTGATGTGCGCTATTAGGGTTGTAAGATATTTATCTAATCAGGCTAGACTAGAATAACACCAAAGAAATATAAAGTTTAGTTCAACGGTTGGTTTGATTAAAAGGATGTTTTCAACCTACTCATAGATATCCAAAAACAACTTTTAATCTGATGAAAAACCCCTTAACAGAAATTCTATTCTAAATTGTTGAATATTTTTATTTAGTATTTTCTTATAATCACACATTAAAATTCTTCAGTTAAAAGAAAGCTTATATGATTTGTTTTTTGTTTTTTTTAGTGATCTGGAATATTGTCAGGTCATTGGGGCTCTTTATAATGGCAATTATCATGTTCCATTTAATGCTGTACAGTGTTTTAAACCCCTTGAACCCTATCAAAAGCCTTTTAGTTAGATAATGGAAAGCTGTGCATTTCTCTATGGCCTTTGAGCCTACTGTTACAAGCTGGGCCATAAACCTTTAGAAACAATCATACTAAGAGATTGGCCCTGATTCCTCCTAGTTAATCTGTAAAAGCTTCAAACAGAAGCACTGATATTACATGTACTCCTTTAACTATCACGAATCTTCTTTAATAGTGTAAAATTCAGCTCATTATGTTAATTTGTCTCTATTTTGTTATTTTCATTGTATTAAAAATACACTTAAGTTGCTAAGATGCTGACAGCATACACTGGAGTTAATGTATTCATCCACCAGTCAGGTTAGCCCAGCTTAACTAACTCGGTTTTTATTACCTTACTGTTTTTTATTATCAGTTTGTCATTTCCTCAAAGGAAAGTAGTGTAAAGAGAACATGGGACCATTTACAATTAAAAAAATCTGCTCAAATAAAAATTATCCTAATGCTGTCTTATTGTGAACAGCATTTAAGGTCAGTTGTATTTAGATAGTGGAGGTTTGCTGGTATTTATATGTATATAACATTTTTTTTTTTTACTATCATATATTCACAGAGCCTTCTCAGCTCAATTTAAACACTCCACAATCCTGGATCACTGTCACGGGGTCATTCCCCTCCACTTATTAAACACATAAATGCA